GAAACTGGAAAAATGCAATTCGTAACACTTGTACCTAGAATTTTCAAATAACCCGTGAAACTATTCTTTTTACATACTATGAAAATAAGGTAGACGCTCTTGACAGGTGAGCTCTCCAACGGTCTAAACCTAACGTTAGTTGCTAGTTGTATGTCAACTTATTAACATTTTAATGAAATAATTGGACAAAATGAAGACTGTAATGTTTCTCTTTAGATTACTGACGTAAACACAATCGTAAGCAGACATAATGCTGTGCTTTATATATAAAAAATAGACTGATTTGTACACTATAAGAAAAAAACCTGATATACAGTTATCACAAAAGACACCTGTGCAGTACACATTTGTGAACATCCTATTAAAACGAGTGACTTTTATAAATTTGACGTCATCAATGACGATTGGTTTGGTTTATTTGAAATTTCGCGCAAAGTTACTACACAAGGACTATCTGCGCTAACCGTACCTAATTTAGCTGTGATAAACTAGAGGGAAGACAGCTAGTCAACATCACCCACCGCCAACTCTTAGGTTACTCTTTTACGAACGAATAATGTGAATGACAATGTGTGACGGAGATTCGAACGCGCGACCTAACCATCATGACACGCTAGGCCTCATCAGTGATGAATCCAAGCAATTTAATACTTCATTTTGTGCTAATTTTGTGAAGCCGACCGAAATAAATGTAAAAAAGGTTTCACACAAAATGTGTTTTACCAAAGTTAAACATAGACAAAATGCAAGTTGGAAAAGCTAAAATATGCATCTTTATCCACAGAAAATGTATCTTAGCTTAGATCACGTAATTTCGTCTTTAGCAAAAATTTGTAGTCTAAGAGTTTCATTTTAAATTCAAACTGTGCGAAAGTTGATGTGGTACATTGAATTAAAGTGCAACCAATAAAATCCATCTATATGTTTCGTTTTTTTGTTGTTGTTATTGTTTTTTTAAGGAGTGGTTCAACTGTTCAAGATGTTTGAAAATAGAACAACTCTGAGACACCTTTGGAAAATCCTTTGCACGTGCATAACATCAAAACATTTAGGTGACATTAATAAAAACAACAGGTTTCAAAAGTACATTAATATGTAAGCCTATTTTTAATTAAATGTTTCACTTCATTCACCCTTGCAATTTTTTTTTTTTTGAGGAAGCATAAAGGTGTTTTAGTAATTTTTTTTAACTTCTATTATTTTGTCATGAAACTTTATATCATTTGTAACTTTGACTAGATTAATTGGTAAATACATATTTTAATATTAACAACAGACCTGTAAAGATTTACGTTTCTGAACGTACGTAAAATAAATTTTTGATAATTCGTTTTACTATACGACGACCCCAAATCAAGTTACTGTTCCTCTTATTACAACAATTGTGATAGAAAACGTTTTAAGACGAGTAAGAACATACCGGAACACTTCTTTGGAGCATTACTGTAATAACACAGAGACCTCTTCCGTATAAATGGCATAATTACTATTTATGAAGATAACAGATCCATACCCGGCATGGCCAGGTGGTTAGGGAGCTCGACTCGCAATCTGTGGGTCGTATATGTACATGATATATACCGATATCCTGGATATAGGCCTTTGTAATCTTAAATATTCATCACTTTCATCATTCATCATTTACTATTCAATCTCACGAACTTCCCTGTACTCTGGGAGTACTATGTTGTATCTCGTGCATACTGTGCTCCACGTATACATAGAGTTTTATAATTTCCCTTCAACATATAAAACTGACATTAACTTAATATTTTTCTGTGAAATCTATACATCTAGGGGCATGTAAAAAGGTCAGGGCCAACTTTTTAAGCATAACACAAACTAAAACTTCATTACCAACGTTTACACTAAGTACTAGAAGTAATCTGATTTACCAACATTAACATGTAAACATGCACGGTGTGTTGCACCCAAACAGTGAAACAACGGTAGTGCCCTCTAGTGTTAAACGAAAGCTGAAATTTAGTGATGCTTAAAAGGCCTAGACGATAATATATAACATTATACTTTCAAAACAAGAAATAACAAGGTGATATGTTAACGTACCAGGTGTTTCTTTTCCTTGTATTTTAGAAAGGCGATGTATGTATTAACGCGCTGACGCCCAGATTTGCAAGGAGGTCACCTTAGTCTTCTACTAGTTCGTTACACACAGTCAAAGTCTGTCTCGTTTTGGTAGTTCTAGACTTTCCAGTGAAAGATTTCCTTAGAAGTTTCTTTAATGTGTCTACCATTGGCAACAGTTCTGAAGATGTTTATGAAGGTTGTGTGCTCTCTACTTTCATATTCCAACTGCTTCGCGAAGCAGAGTGGGGCATACTAATTTGCCCTTTCGTTCATCTGTCTCAATCTTGTGGACAGGATTTCAAGCTTGTGAGGATGAATTTTGATCAAACTTATAAAACGGGTAATTATTTAATATTGAAAGGTCATGGATCAAAGGTCAAAAGGTCACTGATACGTAGAAAATCTTCCCCAACCTTCTGGACATATTTCAATACAGAATGAATGGATACTGACCAAACTTATGAATCAGGACTGCATAAAAAGTTCTAAACCTGATTAACTTTGGAAGGTTGTGGGTCAAGGTCATTCGAAATGGGGGGGGGGGATAAACAGTATGACATTAGAGGGGGGAATAGGCACTTCATAAATACTAGTTGCACTTATTACTTATGAGAAGACCAAGCGACATAAGTGTTAAATAGACTATGGGAGAGTTTATCCTGTTGTATAACGTATATAGTGGTTAAAAGTCTCTCAGTCTTATTTAGATTTCCTTCGTGTCGATATCTTTCTTTAGTTAGAGAAAGTGCAGCCGCCGTTCGTCTCGTGAATACATCTTTTAACTGAGTTGTATTCGTTCAATATCATATGCAGATAAACTGTTTTTGTTTGATATAAAATTTGAACTTCATAATACATATTCCGCTGAACATGCAGTTACATTGGGTACTAACAACGACCATAAGAAATAACATTTACACAAGCATTATTTTAAATTTTGTCCATAACACTAAAATAGTCATAATTTAGTTTGACATGCTTTGAAACATTTTAAGTACATTTATTTATAGCTGAATTTATCTGAAAATTGCATTTCAGTGACTAAATTACGCGACTTTTTACAAAAATAAATAGTAGAATAGTGGAAACAACAGAGAAGTGCCCAGAAAATAAAATTCTTATGTGGCCTGTTTGTCCAGAAAATTATTTAATTGTACCTATCATAGAGGGTTACAACAGTAGAACAGGGCTCCTAAACTGTCTTGTCTCAAAGGCCCTAAGAACATTGGGCATCCTGACAGAGATACCCTCCACACACACATCCCGTTCAATAAATCCAATTCCGTCAGTAGACATCTCCGGTTCCATGAAAAGTCTTTTGTTAGGTACCCCATCCTACAGAAATTTCAATTCAAGTTGTCAGTCGGGCCCTCTTCCCCCGAGCTATCCATGGCAAATTTATTATTAACACCATAAAGCAGCTTGATAGGGGCTTAACTGGTATTGGATTGTGACAACTGCGGTATTTGCATCTGTATAATACTCTTTAACATCCCTGTACAGTTTCACCTTCCTATACCTTACCGTTTGTGAGATAGGAGATTATATCGAGAAGCTTCCTTTATAATCAGTCACCCTGTATACTATCATGACTTACATAATAGCTACCATGGTAACGTAAAAGATGGTTTACCTTGCTGATAATGACCTGTAATACTAATATAAATAAATAAATATAATAAAATAAAATTGCGATACAATACCTTTACTAAAGTGATTAGGTGAATGGTTGTACAATGAACATATCATTATATACTTAAAACAAAAAGTCAGTGGCAGACAGAAATGACAATTTTAAAATTGCATAGTTCAACAACAGTCAAAACTTCATCTGTTAAGTACGTATTCCTATAGGTCAAAATAGGAATCTAATTCTAACTCGTATTTATTAGAGGGAAATAAAACAGTCAGACTTCCCCAGTAAGCCACTTCAAATGTGCTAACGTTCTTCCCTTTCTTTTCACAAATATTGAGGAGGTTGTGACCAAAGTACTGCCCTTTTTTCGCGAGCATAAGTAGACCCCATTTCCTCCGTGAAAATCACAATGCGGTTGCGTATCCAAGAAGGTGTGTAATGACCAGGTAATCGAATCATATAGCGGTCTGTTGTATTTTATACACGTGACACGTTGGCGCAGAACGAATAAACAAAGCCCCCCCCCCCGAATACCCAAGACAAGTCACCTAGCTGCCCCCCTCACAGGCAGTTCAAGCATGTTGCTTTCATTTTAGTTACAGATCCCCGTTTTATTATTATTCTTACTCACCCCTTTCGCTGTTATAATGGTACGTTCTCTTAGTGTGAACACGTTTTAGAAGTCCGAGTCATTTGGGAGGAATCGCGCACCCATAAGGATCCCCGGCTCTTAGATTGGGAACCCCTGAGCTAGAACAGACATCACGTTTTACAACTATTTAACGTAGGTTTAAAACCATAAAGGTGGAAACATGCACGCTTGTGTCGTATTTTGCTTAGCAAAATGTATTAAAATACAAAAAGTTACACAAAAATAGTCCAGTACACAAGAAACGAGTATCTCGTGAAATACACAATGTTCCCGCCATTAAAAGCTCAGCATACATTATTTAAAGCAGTATGAAAATGAATAATTTTGCTTTCCACAAATAGTGAGTGACATATAAATTGGTTGGTTGTTTAGCGTTTTTTGGCACAAAGCAACTAGGCTATTTGCGCCGACATATAAATAATCACAAATATATTTAAAATAGTTATTGAGAGATACAATATCAAGTACCACGTTACTGAACACCCTGAAGGTATGCAACTGATAAACTGTTTCAAATATGAATACTTAAATATTACCTTTGGTGATATACAACTACTATATTTTAAACCGCCTACATTTTAGTTAACAAAACGTTTACTTTTTTCAGGAAAAAACAAAACAGACCTTGTACAAACAATCTTAAAATGCCCGCCTTTTCTCCTTTTCCATTTACTATACACTGATATTCCCCGCTGTCTTCATGAGTCACAAGACGGAAATAGAGGGCGTAAGAATCAGGTAGAAGAGAGACTTCCGGCACAGCTTCCCAAACAGTCATTTTTCTTCACGCATTTCAACTACCCTTTTGTCTTCCTTCCACCATTCGATCTGTTGGACGTTGGAAGAATCCTCCACTGGACTACAAGGAAGTGTAACATTACTTCCGGCACGAACATAAATCTTCTCGACCTCATCATCACCTACAGTGAGAAAATGTATAAAAATTTAAACTCTGGAAACTTCGATGTTTTATGGTTTAGCCAAAAATATTTGATATTATGGCGCTGGAAAATAACACCAGGTGTAATACTGCCCTAAGTCGAGACTTTAAACGGCTATGACCTAAATCTTCATGCACACACAAGTTTTCAGTTATGTAATGAGGCAATGCCACAACCATACCACTTAGTGTAGACACGTAAATTAATTCTTCCTGTGTGGACAGTAGAAGCATGAAGAGCCTACATCCGTAATTTGTTCAAACATCACAACGGAAAACTAACGACAAAAAAAGATGGTAACTTACACTTTGGGAAATCTTCAAACAGCGTGAGAAAAAAATGCAGTCTTCTTAAAGTGTTAGATACGTTATGATTTTAGAACTGAGACTGTTTAATAACTTATATAATGCCTAGCAGACCATTTATTAACACATATAGATAGTATTAAGATTACAGACCATATTTTAGTCAAACAATTTCTACAAAAAAAATCATTTTTCAACTTGAATATGGTGAGGAAGGAAACTTCCTTTTTATTATTACCCAACATTTTAGAAAACAACTACATAGTAAACCCAAAGTTTTCCACAACAAGACACGAAGCTGCTGTTATGAGCTATATTAGTATTTTAATTTATATATCTGCTTGAGGGAGCTGCATATCGTGATGATGAAATATTTAGAATCAAGGTTACGATATAAATAGTATTGGGTAATGACTGAACAGTTAACGAGAAGTTATTAAGTAATAAGTGAGTTAGGTCAGTAACAGAAAAATTATTCAGTGTTAGTTATCGCGTCTATTCTTCTATTTATTTACTAAACGATATATGCATTTGTTTATTTATGAAAGTTATGCGTGATTTATATTGAAACGTTGTATTTGAAGTTAGGCGTACTTTTAGTTGCAAAGTTTATGTTGAAAGTTTACGTATGAAATTAGGCCTACAGATGAACATGGCTGTAGCAAGTGTATATTGAAAAAATAAATCAATTCGTTATCGTTATGTGAACTAAACTTAGCATTATTTCTACCAAATAATCCAAAAGAACCTGCCCAATGATAGAACGCGCTAAAGTAGTACATTAGAAAACTGATAACTTCGGTTGTTAGCTCATCATTAGTACTGGATTTTGTCATCTAACAGAAAAAAATATTAGTATACCAGATTGTGAGTTGTTTTTACCAAACAAAGTTACAAAAAGTTCAACATAATGATCTTTATTAGTCAAACTTACTTAAAGACGACAACGAGTTTATTTTCAATACTTAAAATATTTTATAACAAAAAAAGAAGTACAGTTGTAAAAACCTTCTTTATAGTTTCTTGCACATTTCGTTGAAAAAAAACTACATTAAAATTATAGAATTGAAGTAAGAACCAACTTATTTATTCTGGATAACAAGGAATGACAGCTTTCTGCAGTATTTTAGTTGAAATTGGTCGTCAGTTTTATTTCCCAGCCGAGAAAGCTTATACTGTTGAAGGAAGAAAGTGAATTTGGTATTTGTCAAAAGTTCATTTATCTAATGATGCCGATATTCGATACTTATTAAAATAACTTCAAATTCTGTAATGGCCTTGTGGATAAGGAAGTTTTTGCTCACACCAATACACAAGACAGTGTAAACTCTTAGAATATAAGGCTAATAAGAAGTTAATACAGCCTACAAATCAGTTGAAGTACATCCACTTTGAAACAAAAGGTTAATAACAGAGCACACCTGCAGGCTCTCTCATCTTCAGTTATTGTTTCTCATGTCAGTTAAGATTAATTTAAAGAAATTTCATGAAAAGTATCATTCAACCACAAGTTTTTGTTTTTAAAAAGGTCAGATCATTTCGTACATATATCTCTACTTGTGAAATACTAATCAAGAGACGATAAGTGCGGTTTCAGTGACAAAATGTAAAATATAATTTTGAACAAATCCTTAAAAAACAAAAATTGTATTTGAAAATAATAAATTATTTGAAGCACGGCCCCAAAGCTCGAACGCTAATTTATTTATTTATTTTTGCGGCAATGGAACGCTAGCCATGGACCCTTTGATTCACAGTCCGGCACGCTAACCATTGTACCATACTCAGCCTCTGACGGAATGGTATCATCATTATTAATGATAAAACAAAAATGAAACCCAATATGAGCCTGCTAAGATCTATGTGTTGTAAAACCTAATCGTCACACTATAACTTGAGTGTATTTAATTTGTAGTCAGAATTTGATTAGACTCTGGCATATAAATTGCATTCTGCCACCGAATAATTCCTGAGGAATTATTTCAAACAAAAGAAAATCTGATAGTAAACGAAACATAATTTTTGTGCACGTTTCTCACCGTTAACTCGTAATAAACCTGCTAACATTCTTGTGTTTGTTAGTACGTACGTGAAAGATTCCTTCACACACCGTAATCTAAAATGGTACAGACCATGCATACTTGACCTCTTTGTACCTTATCTAATGGGAAATCAACAGTGCCTTAGATTATGGGCCAACAGCACAAGACTTAACTCTGAC